CTGGTTGGGTGGGTGGTGGTGAAGTAACTGGCGTTGAAGCTGATGGTTGACTCCTCTACTTTAGATGAACCCCCAAGACAACGAGGACACTGCCTCCATATATGACCCAACTCTCCACACTCATAGCAACTCTCAGGTGCTGGATACGGGGACTGCAGGGAACCCCTATCAACAAAATGACTAGCAGATGCACCTGGCATAGAAGAGCCCTGAACTGATGGAGCACGGGACAAACTCTAGGCTGGAAGGGCACTGAGTAATGACTGGCCCTGATGAGAACTGTGAGAACCATGACCCGATAATGCCCCACGATAACCTGAGCGAGCTGACTGAGCATGCCTGAATTGACGCCCTCTACCGTGTTGAAACTAACCCCTCGAAGGAGAACCACCATAACTACCAGATCCCCGAGGCCTCTTGGCCTCCCTCTTATCTCGCTCCTAGCGATGAAATGACTCAATCTCGTGAGCAATGTCAACAACCTCATCAAAAGCAGCAGCAGAAACCCTCTCCCTGGTCATAAGAATCCGAAGCTGATACGTGAGGCCATCAACGAACCTCCTAAACCTCTCTCTCTCTCTGTGGGAACCAACCAAACAGCATGACGAGCTAACTCTGAGAACCTCATCTTATACTGCATCATAGTCATCTCTACTCAAACTGCCTGCACAGTTTCTCTCTCTGAGACTGTGGCACATACTTCTCCAAAAAGAAAACGGAGAACTACTGCCAGGTAAGGGGTGCTGCACCAACAGGCCTACGCCTCTCATAAGCCTCCCACCAAGTGAAGGCGGCTCCAAAAAACTGAAAAGTAGTGAAAGCGACCCCGCTGGTCTCCAGAACACCCGCTGTACAAAGAATCCTCTAACACTTGTCCAAGAAACCCTGGGCATCCTCACCCTTTGCACCATTGAAAGTCGGAGGCTGAAGTCTACCAAACCTCTCCAACTTGTGCTGCTCATCCTATGGCATAACAGGAGCTACATAGTCCTGAACAGCTACAACCGGTTGGGCTGGAGGTGCCCCCGACGTCTGAAGTCCCTGCATGACCTGCTCAGGTTTGCGAGCGGCGGGAGTCTGACTGCCTCTCCCAGCCTGAGAAGTAGCTGTGACTGTAGTAACTGAGACCGCCTGAGCTAGGCCAGTGCATACTAATAGAATCTGAGCCAGGTCCTCCTGAAGACCTGGAATCACAATGGGCACAGTTAGTGCCTGAGCTGGTACTGCTGGAGCGTCCACAATTGGGACTTGATCCTAAACTAGGGCGGCTAGTGGATCTTCAAGTGCTTCCCTAGCTGTTATGCGGGCTACACCCCTACCCCTACCACGGCCTTGACCTCTAGTGGCCCCAGCTGGTGGCACTGGTGGTCGTCCATCCCAACCGATCGCTCGTATCCTCACCATCTGTGAGAGAATAGAACAACAAAAGTTTAGTACTCGGATCAACAAATTCGCACGACAAGAATTTCAAGAATATTAAGTTTCCTAAAGGTTCTACAGCCTTTCGAAGATAAATACAGACGTCTCCATATCGATCCGCGAGACTATACTAAACCTATTCATTACTCGTGAGACCTATGTAACATAGGCTCTGATACCAACTTGTCACAACCCTAAACTGGACCCGGTCGTGATGGCGCCTATCGTGAAATAAGGCCAGTCGACACAAACTCCTAAACCAATTAATAGTTATAATAATTCATAATTAAGTCATTAATAAGTGATAAATCCCAAAAATAGTGTGAACCAGAATAAATGCGGAAACAAACACAGGGACATCGGGGTGTCACCAGTCATGAGCATTTAAACATCCGTCTAAGAGTATGAAAAAGGATTACACATTCTATTACAAAACTAGTACAAGGAAAATAAAGATGGGAAGGAGAAACACTAGGCTGCGAATGCCGAGCAGCTACCTAGTGAACTCCGAACAGCCTGCTGGAAGAAATTAGCCCTCGCTAGCGTGACCCGAGACTCCTGAATCTGCACACAGGGTGCAGGGAGTAATGTGAGTACGCCAACTCAGTAAGTAATAAAAGTAAAGGTATCTGAGCGATAAGAAAACACGTAAAACACAGCAAAATGCAACAAAGAGGCAGTATAAAACCAATACAACACAATAAAACAATGAAAACTTGTAAAAACACCTTAGTTCAGCGAAAAACCTCTTTAAAACATCTTTTAATAGTTAAAACAAGTGAATACAAATAGGGGAAAAAGATAGATACACAAATCAGCCCCTCAGGCAAAATATCAACATAATCAACCCATCGGGCTATTTCACAGTCACTCGTATTAGCCCCTCGGGCAATAACATGGAACAACATCAGTCCCGCAGGCTATATCACATATCATACTGGGTACCCGTGCTCACTGGAGGTGTATAGACTTCGGGAGGGTCCCCTTACGGCCCAAGCGCAATAACAAACCATCCCGTTGCATAATCAAACAGGCTTTCGACCTCATATCAAGCCACCTTGTGGCATACAACTCAGGCCCTCGGCCTCATAATCATGAATCACTATAATATTGTTACGGCACGCAGCCCGATCTCATAGTTTCCTCACAACATAGGCCCTCGACCTTACTCAGTCAGAATCTCACAAGCCACTCGGGCAATAGTAAAACATGATGCTCAGCCCAAAATATCATTTGAAATATCAAAAACGAGTAAAGGTGGCTGAGTTGTGAAAACAGAAGAATATAGCATGACTGAGTACAAATACGAAGTTAAAACAGTGAGGAATAGTAGTAAAAATCCCCTAAGGATTCAAAACAGTTGGCACAAAGCCCAAATATGGCATTCAGCCCAAAACATGATGATAGCAAATAATTTTTAATCAAATACGCGGTTAAACAGTCATACGGGACGGACTAAGTCACAATCTGCAACGGTGCACGACCCCACGCTCGTCATCTAGCGTGTGCGTCACCTCAAAGTAGCACAACGATGTGAAATTCGGGGTTTCATACCCTCATGACAGCATTTACAATCATTACTTACCTCTATCCAGTCCAAACTTTAGCCCGTGATGCCTTTGCCTCTCGAATCGGCCTCCGGATGCTCCAAAGCTAACCAAAATCAGTACATAACCATCAAAATATTCTAAGAGAACAAAGGCCACTCGAAAGTAATCAAATCACAACACAAATCCCGAAATTAACCAAACCCGACCCCTAGGTCCATGTCTCAGAATTCGATAAAAATTACATCAATAAACTCCTTGTAGTCCCACGAGTTCATACATATAAAATACATCAAAATCCAACCACAAATGGCCCCTCAAATTTCTAGATTTAGGTCTCCAATTTCGAAGCCCTAACTTCCAATTTTTAGGCTTAAATTCCACAAATTCCACGAATAATTAGGTAGAAATCACATTAGGATTGAGTATTAAGTCCATAAATCTTATTCCAAGTATTTCTCCTTGGTCCCCTCTTCAATATTCCTAAAAATGCTCTAAAATCACCCAACAATGGTGAAACTTAGACTAAAAATCGCGGATATGGCCTTTTAAAACATTCTGCCCAGCTATTCATAATCCTTTTCGCGAACATGGTCAGTGCGTCGCGTTCGAAGCACAAACTTAAACTGACCATTTTCCCTTCATCGCGAACGCGACCCCATGCACGTGAACGCGAATCCTTAGCTTCACAACTCACTGCGAACGCGGCTACCCACTCGCGAACGTGAAGAATAAACTGACCTGGACCCAACTGCTCGCCTTTCCTCTACGCGAACGCGGCAAAGCCCTCACGAACGCGATGACCACTTGCCTCATCCCTTTGCGAATGCGGGACCACCTTTGCAAACGTGAAGGCCAATTCTACTGCATCACATCCTAAACCTTCGCGAACGCGGGACACCTTCGCGAAGGCCAAAACCTGCAACACTAACAGTAGACTTTCTACAATTTCTTTCAACATGAAATGATCAGTTCAACCACCTGAAACTCACCCCAGGCTCTTGGGACCTCAACCAAATATGCCAACATATCTCATAACATCATGCAAACTTGTTTCAACCTTCGGAATGCTCAAAACAACATCAAAACACCAAATTTGCATTGGATTCAAGCCTAAGAATTTCAAAAACTTTCAAATTTCGCTTTCGATCAAAAAGTCTATCAAACCACGTCCGAATAACCTGAAATTTTGCACACACGTCACAAATGAAACCACCGACCTACTCCAACTTCCGAAATTCCATTCCGAACCCCTATATTAAAATCTCACCTATCAACCGGAAAACGACAAAATTCCAATTTCGCCAATTCAAGCCTAACTCCGGACCTCCAAAATACATTCCGATCATGCTCCTAAGCCACAAATCACCTCCCGAAGCTATCCAAACCATCAGAACTCACATCCAAGTCCTTTATCACATAAGTCAACATCCGGTTGACTTTTCCAACTTAAGCTTACTCAAAAGAGACTAAGTATCTTAAACCTTACCAAAACCTCTCTGAACGGAGCCAACTAACCCGATAGCACATAATACAGCCGAACAAGACAATAAGAAGAAAAAATGGGGGAAACAGAGAGGTAACTCATGAAACGACTGGCCGGGTCGTTACAGATTCCAAACAGAAAGGCATTGACTACACTGAAACTTCAGTCATGTGGTCAAAACCACTACCATCAAATGTCTCCTCACCCTTGCTATAAAACATAACTGGGTTGTTCATTAATTAGATGTCAACAATGCATATTTACATGGTGACCTTCATGAAGAAGACTACTTGAAGATCCCCTTGGGCCTCACTGTCACTACCACCTCTTCTGATCCTCCTTTGGCCTGTAGATTTAGAAAATCTCTCTATGGCCTCAAAGAGTCCTCAAGGCAAGTGGTTTGCAAAGCTTTCTTCTTCTCTTGTTTCCAGAGGGTATTCCCCCAATAGAATGACTCATCTCTCTTCTCCAAGGTATCTACCTCTTCCATTATTCTTTTGGCATAATATATAGATGATATTTTCTTGGCTGGCAGTGATTCTGATGAAATGGCTGCCCAGAAATTATTTCTGGATCATCAGCTAAAAGTAAAAGATCGTGGTTCTATACACTACTTTCTTGGTCTTGAGGTCACCAAAGTCCCTCAAGGCTATGTTGTCAATCAGTACAAGTACACTATGGATCTCCTCCAAGAATTTCACTGTCTTGATGTGAAGCCTGTTCTTACTCCACTTAATGCTCATGCCAAACTCTCCCCTGATGTTGGGGATCCTCTTCCTGATCCCTCATTGTATAGGAGGCTCATTAGCAAGAAGAATTTTCTCGAATACACCGTGCTAGATATCTCCTTTTTAGTACAACATCTCAATCAGTTCTTGATATCCCCAAAGGTGCCGCATATGTTGGTTGCTCTACATGCCCTTAGGTATCTTCTCAATGCTCATTCTCAGGGTATTCTGCTCAACAACACAGCTGATTTTTCATTACATGCCTACTCTAATTCAGAATGGGTTGCTTGCCTCATCTCCAGGAAATCTGTGGCTGAGTATTATATTGTCTTAGGGGTTCTCCTATTTCCTAGAAATCCAAATAGCAACAAATTATTTCATTATCTTCTGCAGAGGCAGAATATCGAGCCCTCAGGAAGGTTGTTGCTGAGGTTACCTGGCTGGTTCGTTTACTTTGTGACGTAGGCCTGGTAATCTCTTCTCCTGTCCCTGTGTATTATGAAAGTTAGGCTGCACTTCATATTGCTAAAAATCCTGTATTTCATGAGCGACCAAACATATAGAGGTTGATTGTCATTATGTTCGTGATGGTCTTTCCATTTGTTTAAGCTCCCTTCAACATATCTCCACTACTCACAACCTTGCTAATGTTTTGACTAAAGCCTTGACAGGTGTACCTCATCACATGTTGTTGTCCAAGCTGGGTGTGTTCCCACCCTCGAGCTTGAGGAGGTGGGGGGGGGGGTGATGGAGTTCAATTACTATGCGTGAAAGACCAGATCTAAGATGACTTTCTCATATTGGGCCTACCAGTAATTGGGCCTCATTTTTCATTTAGGGACCCGACCCTTGTCCGGTTTAATTTAGATATTTTGTACATGCCTCCTAAAATAATCTACTATATTTATCGAGTTGTTCCAAAGGATCAAAATGGCTAGTTATTAATGTAATTTCTTGTCGGCTCTCTGTAAAATACTCGTTTGGCTGAGAGCTTCCAAACACATCGTAATCTAAACCGGTGCTAACAAATAACCAACCCGCAATGAATAGGGAAGGTATAGTATTGCTATGAATGACCCCGTATCGAATACTGGTAATAATATCAGCAAACAAACGTTCTCCTATGCTTCTAGAACCTTCTTTCTCATTTTTCAAGTAATGAGAATCAGTCTTTTATTTACTACTAGAAAATAGACCTATGGCAACGCATCAAATACTCCAATAGACCTATTGCAATGGTTTAGAAACCGTTTCACCAGGTCGGGTGCCAATAGATCTACCGCGACGGTTTCCTGCAATGGTTACTTACCCAACTGAAACGGTTCAATGTTGTTGTAATATCAATTTATACATGGTATAGCAACAATCATTAAGGACTTCTGCAACGTTTATTAAGGGCTATTGCAACGGTTATTTGAGGCTATTGCAATGATATTATAAATCAACGATGCATTATATAATAAAAATATAATACACTAAAATTTATGAGGAATTTACATAGAATACAACTCTTTAAATATTTATTTATATTTTCTACAACTGCTTTAGTAAAATTACTTTTAGTAAAAGTTATTTTAAAATCAACACTTTTTAATTAAATTATATACAACTTTTTAATTCCTAAAATCTCTCCTTGATATTCTCTCTCACTTAAAGATATGTCTTTCTGATTCTCACGTATTTATCATTACCAATTTTCCCTATCTCTCAGATAAAAGATACTCTATTATCTCAAAATGCATATCTCTTTTCTGCGCTCCATGATGCTCACGTATATCCCCTTTCTGTATCAAGATAATATATATGTGTAGGGGCCGATTTTCATAGAAAACATATTGTTCTGACCAAGTTTTTTTGACAACGAATTATTTTATATTATATATACTATATATTATGTTATTGTATATTTTTATCATATATATTATATTTGTTTCCCCAAATTTGTTTCTTCTTTATCACTCCATCAGCAAAATGTATTTACTTCTCCCAAATTTTTAAATAATCTATTCTTATA